TGTTTATATATATAAATATATATATATAATATAAATATATAATAAAAATATAATATATAATATATATATTTTTTCTGATCAACTGAATTGCATGGTTTCAGCATGCAGTTTCAGATAGAATATTTCCTAAAAGTTGTGATTAATTTGAAAGAAGGACAACATTATCTCCCCAAAGTTCACAGTAAATTTATGAGGTGTTTGATGGTATTTCCTTCCATTAGTGGGCTCTTCTGGAGCATTTTCTCTGGTAGCTAGCAAAACTCAAGGAGCACTTTTTGCTCAATCCTGATCCGGGCGGAAGGACAGATGTAGAAGTCCAGCAGGGCTTTTTTTTTGGCTCCAGCCCGCATAATGGAGGGGCATGTGCGAATGCTGCAGGTTAACCTGAACGTGTGTCTGGTTTTGCTTGGAAGCTGAATTCCACTGCAGGCCCTTGTGGCTTCTCCATGTGCTGATGACTTGGCCAGCCTGCGCTGCGCGTGCTGCGCTTTAATGATCCACGAGTCACCACGTCGTTTGCAGGCTGCCAGATTATTTATACTCCATCTGTTCGTCGCCATCCGTGGTGTTCATCAGCCCTTCTCCCTGACTGCTGTGCTAGGAGGCACATACCAAGTCTGGTTCTTCTTGTTGCCTCTTGGCTTACTTTGGCCTCAGCTCATTAAGGTGTTTATCTTTGTAGGACTAATAACCATCATAGAATCATAGAATGCTTAAGGTTGGAAGGGACCTCTAGAGGTCATCTAGTCCAACCCCTCCTGCACACACAGGGTCAGCTTGAGCACGTGGCACAGGACTGCATCCAAGTGAGTTATCATGAGGACTATCTCGCAGAGGTCCTTATAAATGTACCTCTGTGGTGGCTTTTGGAAGCTCAGATGTCTCTGTTATCAATGTCATGGGGCCAAGATGGGGTCTGGTGATCCCTCTGTGGTCCATGGACATTCATGAGGTCTCAGTGGGAGTCCACTGGGGAGAGTAATTCGTGGAGGCAAAAAAAAAAAAATAAAAACCCAGCCTGAGGTGCCCTCAGGGTCTCTTCAGCAGCAGCGTATGAAAGTTGGAATTCAAGCATGAATGCTGGATGGTGTTCAGGTGCAGCAGATGGGCTGAATGGGGACAGGATCCCGCAGCCTGCTGCCTTTCCCATCCCTCTGGCTGTGCATTTACACGCACATTTTTCTTTCTTGGTCCATTCCAGAGGTCTCTGGCCACGTGGAGATGCTAGCAAAGGGCACGTTCCTGTTTGCTTGCTCCATTCCAGATTGGT